GAAATCCTTCTCATCTCAGTCTTAAATTGGTATCTCTTAATTCTGAGTCGATGCCCTTTTGATCCTGGAGCCTCCAATGAGGGGAACCATCATCTCCGTATTTACCTTGTTAAACTCTATATTTCAGTGAAATCACCCCTCATTCTTTCAAATTCCACTGAATAGAGTCCCAACCTGTTTAGCCTTTGCTCATAAGACAATCCCTCCATACTGGAGAGCTTTCTAATGAACCTTCTGTGAAGTGCCTCCAATGAAATAAAATGTTTTGTTAAATAATGGGACCAAAATTGTTCAGTGCTCTAGATGTATACTCGGTGGATTATCTCGACATTGATTCAGATGCTTGTGGCATTAGTATGAACAAAAATAACATGACACTAATTCTAATCTTTCCTTCATTTTGTTCTTTCATTTTATTGTGATCTGGACATTTTGGGTTAACTTATTTAATTTTAAATACTGTCAAACTAAACAATGTGGGATCTGCCTGATTATCCATTTGAGTTAATTTTGGCATCTGTCCAGAAGTTCTATCTGTGAATTAGAGTGAATGAAATAGGGTACAAAACTGATGTAATTCTGTACTAATTTTTGAAACAATTTCCTGTACTGAATATCTGATGTAAAAGCTGCACATTTTATTGTCAGCACTTTCTTTAAAAATATAGTTCCTGATCACATTCTTTCCAGCATATTTACTGAAACCCAGATCACTCTGATCAGTGGAAGACATGATAAATACAGTATATTTCAACTAGGTGCTTTCACTGTTGCAATGAAAGGAGCAATAAAGAAAATGTTTGTTTTTGCCTGCTGTCTGAGATTGTAGCAGTAGTTTCCTTTTATCCTAATGAATTAACCAAGATAATGTTTCACCTGTTTGCTGTGAGACATTGAACTAACACTGTTCATCTTGAGAATTGATACTTGCTAGTTCATGAAAAAAAAATTCTTGCAGGAATAAAATGATGGAACATGCAGCCAATGTTTCTAGTGTGATGTGTACTATATAATTTCTTTTCCTGTTGTATTACTTGTTCCGCTGCATATGTTTCTCACAAACTAGCAAAGGTATTCATCGTAGCTGTCTGGGATATGAAATTTGAATCATGCAACAAACTGTTGGAAAGAGACCAGCTACTGAAACTAAAGTTATCATGCTAGCCTAATTTTTTGAAGTTTTAACAATTGTGATTATGGTGGCCCTATCACTAGTTATTAAGCAGATTAAGAGATGCTCACTGTGTAAATGATCCACGGGAAAGTGGTCAGCACTGTATCTGGAATTAAGCAGACACTTAGCTGCTGTGATATTTCACTAAGTTATGCTCAACATAAACATGGGAACCTTCTCAATCCTCGGACTACGCCAGGTATGCTCAGGTTTTCTCAAATTTGGCTCCTGGTTTGTTTAAATACTTTCTGTTCAATAGAACAGAAACAGTTGCAAACTTTTCTGTTTTTGTCTTTCCTTTCTTCTTGCATGTCAAATGCTGCAGTTTCACTTATGATTTCCTTGTAGATTGATATTTTCAAAAAGGAAATTCAGCATCCAGTATTTAGCTGAAAGGATGTCACAATGAGAGTTTACTTTCAGACTTGTTGCTATAACAAACTAAAAGCAACACTGATTAAACTCAAATTGCAGTTGACAACTTCTGAAAACTACATGATTGTGCACAAAAAGGAAAATATTCAATCAAGCATCCTGCTCTGTTATACTTTACACCATTTAAATATACCTTCAATTCTGCTACAGCCAACACAGCGATTTGTAGCTCCTGAGAGTTTACTTCTCCTATCTTTTCCAACCTAATAACATTTAATCTCAGAGTTGTCTTTTATAATGAGGTTTATGTAAAAGGTGCAGAGGAGATTTACCAGGATGTTGCCTGGAATGGAGGGAAGGTCTTAATGAGGAAAGGTTGAGAGAGCTAGGGCTTTTCTCTTTAGAATGACGAAGGATGAGAGGTGACTTGATAGATGTAAAAAATGATCAGAGGTATAGATAGAGTGGACAGCTAGAGACTCTTTCCTAGGGTGGAGGTAGCTATTATGAGGGAGTATAGTTTTAAAGTGAGTGGAGGTAGATATAGGGGAGATGTCAGAGGTAGGTTCTTTACTCAGTGGTCGGGGCGTGGAATGCATTGCCGGAGAGGATAGTGAAGTCGGCCTCATTAGGGGCATTTAAGCGGCTATTAGATAGGCATATGAATGACAGTATAAGGTAGGGGTGGAGGTTAGATAGACCTTAGGTTTAGGATAAAAGTTCGGCGCAACATCGTGGGCCGAAGAGCCTGTACTGTTCTATGTTCTGTGTAGGAAATTTTTCTTTCTAGCTCAAGTTAGGTGAATTGGAATTTTGTCTTTTCAGTCAGAGTGCGAGCACTTACCTGCACTCCTGTGTGGGCAACCAAACAGACTTGCCTCTATCTGCCCTCCCTCTCTGCAATCCCGGCAAACTAGCCTGTCCATGATATTTTTAAGATAACCTTGTCCTCCTATTTACAGTGTTTTACTGTGTACCCATCTCCTTGTGAAGGTAGTTTCTGTGACAATGTGAATCACATGGGCCTTGTATTTATGTAGAAATGCTACATGTAGAACCGACTTTATTCTATCTTGAAATTTAAATAGCCATTTGAAGTGTAACTGTTTACAGTCTGATATCGTTAACATCTTCATGAGATTGGAGACTAACTGTCCACTGCTATCATGCCTATTTTCATCATTGCCTATAGATGTGAATATCTTTTACATTCATTTCAGTAGAATGACCTGGGCCTCCCTTTTAGTGTTGCGAGCATTACTCCAAATAGGTCACATGATGACTTTTTCTTCCATTCTATGCTAAATTCAACAGTCCCAAAATATACCATCTTTTAAAATCTTATGTCTGTAACGTACTCTAATCTAGTAAGTCTCAAACACCTACCATCATACGAGAACAAAATATTGTTGATTCTGGAAAAATGAAGTAAAAGTGGGAAGTACTCAGCAGATCAGGCAATATCTATGGAGAGGGGACCAGTGTTCGTGTCTCAGGTCAATCTTTTATCAGTTCTGAGTCCCTTGTTTTCTGAGTTTCTGTTCTTCCTGCCAAACTGCTTTTGACAATTTGATTACAGCCAAGAGGGAAAGGTAGAGGACTGGGAATAACTGAGTTGCTGTTGCAGAAGGCGAGCACAACCACAATGTCCAATGTAACTTTATGATTCTATCGTTTGTTAATCTATATGAAGCTCAAAGTTCCCCGTGATTCATGCATTGCTTTTCTTACACACCAACTTTTGTTTCTTGAGTGCTCTGTCCAAAACTACAGCTGCTAGTGGGGAGAGTGAAGGTCTATAAGCTGCTATCATAATACCTTGTACTGACTCTGCTGAGCTAAGATGTTTGTTCATTACTAGTTCATCTCAGCCTCTATCATCAAGGCTATCCATACTCCTTGTTCATTTTGGTTTTCCTTGCCAAAAACATTTAAATACCCTGGAACATTGAGTTCCAACCTTGATAACTGAAACCTCATCCCTGTAATATGACTATTATTTCATTCTCATTTACTTCTATTTGTGTAAATTGTATTGTTAAGAATACTTTGAATTTGGATAAAATGCCTTTTAATGTTTTATTTTTTCCTGATTTAATATTTTTGTTCCTTCCTGCCACACCCTGTTTATCTGGATGTATTTGCAATGCTGTTCTTTATTTTAAACTTCTCTCATTAGATTCATAAATTTCTTCTCACTTAAACCTTCCCTCTTACCTGCTGAAGTGAAAAGTTTACAATAATTTTCCGCTGTCCCCTCAATAATGCAACTAGCTGCTGTACAGTGGTGGTTAGATGGTCCAGTGTGTAAGTTTAAAGAAAGACTATTATGTCTTTAAGAAAACCTGGTGGGTTTTCTACATGTTCCATTTTGTGTACAAGAGAAATAAAGTACCCCAGCGTATTTCCTTTTTTTGGAAAGGTAAACCAAATGAATGAGTAGTGTGGGTAGCCCTGATGAAATAAAGTCAAGGGTCACATGACAGTAAATTCCTAGTGTATCCATTGCACTGTGCCTGTTCCAGGTATATTCCAGGCAGAAAACTTCAACCTTTTCCATTTTCTTGTATCATCTATTCTAACAATATTTTCTTAAATTTCCTTCCTTGTGCTGTTCTTTCGCTTTGGATTGATAGTGGTCTCCTCTGTTATCCAAAAATGCTGGAAATACTCAGCAGATCAGACATCATTTTTTAAAGAGAAGCAGTTATGTTTCAGGACTGCAATCTTTTTTCAGAAGACCTGACAAATTTCCAGCATCTACAGCATTTTGACTTCATTAGTTCACTGGCTGGATACTTCAACTGAAAAATGAACATGCACTTCTCAATTTTGACTTCAGAATACTTTGATTATAAATTCAATGACCGAACATTGTTTAGGACTTTTGAATATCTTAAACCAAATTGTTTTGCAGGGCTTGAGATTAGTTGGATGCAAGGGTGGTTAAACACTTAAGCACTGAAAAACAAGACCTTGGGAAGGAACAGTTTAAAAAACATTTTGGCAAGTGAGGAAGACGAAGGCAGCGACAGTGATGCTGTGGACTCCATGAAGAGACTGCATATCACGCTTTTGCTGACTAAATGTGAGACTGGATAGGATGTAAAGAGAATGAAGAACTGCTTTGGGTCCTATTACAGTTAAAATATCATAACCGTAGAGTGTGCCATCCAAAGGAATTATGTTGTTCATCCTTCCCTTACCTTTTACAATTTGTTTAGTTTAAATTTGTTGATGCAATATTTCAGGTGAGCAAACAACTAACATTTTAACCTATTTGGAATGTTGCCTGCTGCCCTGTGTACATCTGACAGTAGTTGTAAAACTTATTATTCTGTTGCATGGTACATATACTGTTACATATGAATAGAACCGAGTCTAGTGCTTTTGTGTCTATCATTCTGTAATTGTATTAATAATTTGTAATATACTAATTTATCTCTTCTAGCCTCGTGAGAAAGGCCGCATGCGTTTCCACAGGTTACAGAATGTACAGATTGCACTTGACTACCTAAAGCAACGACAGGTAGGTATATAGGTATATGGTGATGATATTGAACTATCAATCCAGATGTTGTATATTTAAAATCCCACCATTGCAAGCCATGAAATTAATTTTGCAAATTCATTGGCTAAAATGTTTACTTCCCCTACCGTATTTCTTGTGTAGGAGGAAGCAATGTCTGAAATACCATCACCTCACATTTTCTCTCTATTTACATACCAACTTGACTTTGAACCAGTGACCATAAAATAAAAGCAACATGTCAATGTCCTGCAATTTCTAAAATCATGTGGCAGCATCATCACTACAAGGGTTTAAGAAGGAGGCTCACTAATGATATTTGGGTATAAGCAGCTTTATCTACATTTTCAACAATAAAGCAATTTAGCAAAGATAATTTATTGTATTGCACATTACTACTTCCAGCTGCTCTTTTTTGCTGTTGGACTGACGTGAACTTGAACTTGGGGCATGGTAATTAGATAAATTATTATTCCATGCAAGGTTCCCATTGGGCCTGACAGGCTATTGCATCAGTGAATTTGATTATAAGCTATGTAAGCCAAGAAAGTGCTGAAGTCAATTATTGGGTACTTGGGTATGCCTCAGCCAAATTAGTAGCCGAAGCGTTTGCATTGGTTTCAGTATCTGAGCTATGGAGCAACAGAATCGGTGATTGCTGCTAGAAAGTCTGTGCATCTGGTAATCACTCTAGGCTTGGGTGTGAATTTCTCCCAAGCAAAGTAGATGCCTGACACTCACCAAGTTGCGTTATATTGGTTACATCACAGGGTTGCAGCTGCCTGATCACCATACTATTGAAGAAAAGTAGAGAAAATTAAGCATACTTTTTTCTCGAGTGCTTCAAACTCCAATTATTAATGATTAATGATTAAAAATGTCCTTCAGATAGAATAGATTTCCAACAGATGGATACAAAGAGGAAGTTAATTTAATGTAGTAATCACATAGGAGGTATCCCATTCTTTTCTGCTCTAAAGCTAGAGTAACCAAAGTTCCAGCGGGCCAAAGGGCTGCTCTCATTAGTGGGCGGCAACTGGTGGTGAGTTTAACCTGAGTGTCACCCATAGGCAAGGGGCAAAGTTGAGATGACAGGACCATCATGATGACCTCGGCCAGTTTGGAATTTGAACCTGTACTATTGGCTTCACTCTGAATCACAAACTAACTACCTAGCCACTGATCTAACCAACCCCCCATATAACCTGTCAATACATTGTTCTATCTACATGACCCGGAGTTCGATTATGAAAAGTATAATGTAAGTAATCATTTAACAGTTCCGGGATGGGTCATCCGGGCCAGAAATGTTAATTCTAACTTTTCTTCATGGATGCTGCCAGACCTGCTGAGCTTTTCCGGCAACTTTTGTTGTTGATCATTTAACTTGTTGGCATTAGCCATGTTTACAGGAAGCTACATATTAATATACAGAACCATGTTTGCAGACAGAATGTGTATGTACAGTGCATCTGTTTCAACCCAACAAAATAGGTGACAGCGATATGCTGGATCATTTGTCATTGCACTGACTCATACTGGCGTTTACGTATCAATCAGCATTGATTGGTAGAAGTGTTGCCATGGAGAATCGACCTATCGATTAACTGTAATCAGCACTCTCCTCTCATGTAGTATAAATGTTAATTTTCACCTTGAATTGGTATTCTTGCATATTGTCCTGATGAGGACAAAATGAAAAGTTTTAACTTTTACAGTAATACTTTGTGTCAATAAAAATTCAATAATTCCACATAAAGTTGTCCATTGTGACTTAAGTGGTACTACCATTTCCGGTAATTCTGTCTAATTTGCACAATTGGAAGAATCAATTTATCAGACTTGTTGATCTTCAAGAGACTCTTTTAAGTTCCGAAACCAATTCAGGAAAATTCTGGCATTTTTCACAAATAATTGATCAGTTATTTGTAATGTTCCAATTACAGGGATACTTGGTTTATAATTTATCTACCAAAGTTTTGAGTTTTGACCTTTTCGATTATTGGTCAAAATAACTTTTTTGTTTCTATCTAGAGCACTTCATCTGAGATTTATTAGTTTAAATAGGCATAAAAGTGAATGTTCTTCTTTCTCAAATATGCAGTAGAGAAAGGTGAACCTTTCTGCTACACTGAAGGAACTGATTTGTGGTTTTCTTTTAGGTGAAACTAGTAAATATTAGAAATGATGACATTACTGATGGAAATCCTAAACTAACACTTGGTTTAATTTGGACCATAATTCTACATTTTCAGGTAAGGATTTTTGCATTGTTTATTTAATGTATTACTGATTTTGTAAATGTATGAAATTTGCAAAGTGAAATATTACAACAATGTACTATATAGCAATATAGTATATAAACTCATTGAAGCAAGCTAAATACAAACTCAATCATTTGTAAATTTAAAAAGTGCAAAACGTTTGTCACAATGTATTTTTCAGTACTCGTTTGTAAAAGTACTGAAGGCTTTTATGGTAACCCATAGATAAGCATGTATGTATGTGTTCATCTAACTGGGACAATGCATTACCAAATTTGTTGAAATCGCCTGGGAGTTCAATCTTTGAGATTTACAGTTGCAAATAATAGGTACAAACATGTCCTAACGAGCTTTGTGGAATTATAAGAAGAAACCTGTACTTGGCCAAAGAAGCATAGATCAGCCGAAGTGATCAAACACATGGTTAAAGAACTGTGCTTCAAGGCAAGAAAATATAGAAAGTAAGTACTAGGCTATGCAAACAAAACATCTGCATATACGACTGTCAATGGCATGGAAAAGAGTGAGAACTGCGCAAGAATCTGGAAGGCAAGCTTTTGGCTTTCTAGAGATGGAAGGGTTGCAATGGAAGGAGGCAATGGAGGGATTTGTGCACAAGACAAATGTTTTAAATGAATTGCATTAGAGGGCTTGAAGTTGTTGTATGTCAGAGATGATGGTTGTTCCTTGTGGACAAGGGTATAGCTGACAGGATTTTGGGTAACTTGCATTGGATGGAGGGTGAGAGGACAATGTGAAAGACATTGGACGCAAGAGTAAAATGCTCTGGATAAGCAATATTAATAGAAATATTTAAAAAATTGAGATCGAGCAGCATCTGTGGAGAGAGAAACAGTTTCCAATCAATGACTGTCAGAACTGGGAGTGCTGAATAACGGTTTTTAAGTGCTAGAGAGGAGACACCGGAATAATTCACTTACGAGGTTACAAAAAGGTGAACAAGGGTTTCATCCTCGGATCTACTGAGGTAGAAGTGAAAGTGTGATCTGTGGAAGTAGTTGGTCTTGAAGTTTGAGATGAATTAGGGAGGAAAAACTGCAAACAGTTTGGTTCAGCAGGTGATAGTTGGCAGCAGAGAAGAGATGGAATTAGTGACAAGGTAATTGACAATCTGGGTGTCAGAGAAATCATGGTTTTAGACTCCCTAATTTTTAGACGGAGATTTGATTTCATCATAATTTGGATGCCGTAAAGAGGTGGTGAAGTAGAGCTGGATATCACCAATGTATATGTCTGCGGATTATTGTACTGATAGGCAGCAGGTAGAGGACGAAGAAGCTGAAAGATGATTTGGCTGGGAAGAAATGCTGTTATTAGAAATGCTGTAGCTATTATCAAGTAAGCTAACCGTGGAGCCAAATGTGGCCCATCCCGTTGACCTATATATTGGAGAAGAGGCATTTGAGGAGCATGGGGTAATTTACAGTTTTAAAGGTTTCAGGGAGGGTAGAAAGCATAGCACATCAGTCATATTGAATGTAATTCTAAGTTTGTTTTTCTGGTAGGCTTCAGCACTGTATGTTTCAGGAACCTGATTGGAGGAATTTGCAGGAAAGATGAGGACAGCATGAATGGCATTGCAGTAATGAATTTCTTACTCTGTTAAAACTGCGAATCTTTTAGTTACATAATTTTGTTTTTAAAATGTAAATGTCACTTATCAATGGTCACAAATGAAATATTCTAAACAGTTGTGTATTTCCTAAAAGTTCTGCATGTAATTCAAATGTAGTTGTGCATCTTGCAGTACTTCTGTCAACTTGGCTCTGGTTTACTGTTTATTACCAGTTGTTGAAACATGTTCAATATTTTTATGATGACCAAATCCCTTCTAAGTGGCCTTTATAGGTGTTATTTTAAATTTGGATTTAAAGAACTTTTAGCGCTACAATTTACCTGTTTATAGATGTCTGTATCAATTCTGGAGTCAATTGTCCTCATTAAAACTGAGGCAGGTCATTGTATCAGGAGTAGGCAGTATGTGTAGCCTGAAGCCATATCCAAAAATTGGTGTTTTAATTCAAATTTAGTTTTTAAAAAGATGACATTACTGAGTTCTGATAGTTGATGGTACTGTATTTAAGATGTGATTGATTTGAATTCAGCTTCAATTGCCCAGTGTTTGTGAGGTTTTATGCTGTAACTTTATTATTTTATCTTGCAAAACAAATCTGTTTTACTGGACTGAAGTAGGAAGATGGTACGATAATTTGCACAGCGTTCAAGTGTGATTGAATTGATTTTACACTCAAATTAATATCAACTTTATTTTACAGGTGGTTGGGGCTGGGGGTGTGTGCATGTGTGTTCATTCTGATAGCACAGTCAGACTGAAAGATGTACTTTCGTTTCACAGTTGCATTCTTTAGGACTGCAAACCTTGTGTTGTTGGCAGCCATTGTGTTGGTGGATGTTAATGCATATTGTGGTAGTTTACATGCCTTTTTAAAGATGACTGAGGGGAGGGGAACTCATTAGACTTTTACCAAGACACGTATCTTGGTATTTCCCAGACAAGCTAACACCTGAGGAATGATTGGTATTTATAATCAAATTGTTAGAAATTCAAAATTTAATATCATATTTCACTGAAATTGCATAAATTTTGTTTTTGTGTAAACCTGTAAATTTGAAGCTGTCATTCTCCACAAATGATGGCATGGAGAGTCTCCTTTGAAAAAGTGTAACTAGGGAAAAATTGGGTTGATACATTACTGACTAAATTAAGATCAAAGTTTACAATTTAAATGATCAACTAACATATGTAAATAATGCTGTTATAAATAGTGAAACCCAAAATTCTCTTCTGTTGAATGTGCATTCTGCAGCAAATGTTATACATCTGCTGTAATTATTTACATCATTGTGTATTGCTGTCATTTATCCCTGAGGTCAGGTCAGGTCAGGTCAGACTGTTACGGCAGGGGCAAGAGGATTTGGTCCACTCAAAGGCAATTAGGTGAAGGGGTTGCATGTATGTTGGGCAAAGAGTGGGGAGCATGTCATGCAGTAGGGCAAGAGGTATCAGATACCGGAACATGGGGTAAAGAGTTACATGGTGTAGACAGCTAAGCAGTTCCACAACCAATGAATCAGATTAAAGCTCTGTAGTCCTGTCATAACTGGTGGGCAATAAACAACTGGCTCTAGAAGTACATTCAACCTTAAAGATGGGGAGTCCAGTACATCAGTGTAAAAGTTGAAGACTGAGGCATTTATAGCCATCTCCAGTTAGAGTGGGTGATCCATCTGTCTTTCCCTGAAATCCCCAGCATAACAGATCCACTTGATGTGAAGAAATGATTGAAAATGCTAGTTACTGTAAAGGCTGTGGGCATAAACAATATATGCCAGCAATAGTACAGAAGACTTCTGCTCCAGAACTACCTTCCCTGAGCATTCCAGAATGGCTGCAATGGCAACATCAGCCTGACAAGACAAAAAATTGCCCAGATAGATCCTCTTCACATAAGGCGGTCAAATCTAAACTAACTGGCATCAAGCTCTTATCAGTAGAGTGATGGTGGTGTCTTCCACAGCGCTATCGAATGGTACTCGCAGCAATAATTTGCTCACTTATATAATGTTTGTGTTCTCCCGCGGTCGCTTGGGCACTGATTTCTTTCCAGCTTTGGTACAAACATGGACAGAACAGCTGAAATGCAGAGGTGAGATGAGAGTGACTGTCTTTGAAATGAAGAGAACATTTTGAACAAGTGTGCCATCAGGAACCCTAATTAAATTCAAATCACAGGAAAATCTCAAATGGTTAAAATCGTACCTCGCACAATGGAAGGTAGTTGTGCTTGTTGGAGGCCAATCATCTCAATCTCTCAATGTCCATGCAGAAATTCCATCGAGTAGTGTCTTGGGTTCCAACCATCTGGGCTGATAAGAGACAAGTAACATTCATGACATTCAAGTGCTTGGCTATAAGCTTCTCTAACGACAATCTAATGACCTCTTTGAAATTCAATAGCATTTTGACATTGAATCCCCTGCAATCATGGGCATGTAATAGATTACCTTTCTTGTAGTTTTCATATAATTACTGAAATATAAAGCTTAAACCTTCACTATACCTTTGAAACTGGAAATCCAAATGGGATAACTCATCAGCTGACTCGCCAATCTGCACTTATCCTGTAAGGCACATGTTAGGCCTATAACCGTAAACTCTCCACTTGCTGGATGAGTCATTTCCAATAATACTGAAGAATCTTTACATCATACAGGACAAAACAGACTGCAAGATTGGCCCCCTATCCACCACCTTACACTGATTCCTTTCATCACTGGTTGCACAGTGGTAGCAGTGTGTACTATCCATTGGATGCACTTGAGTAAATCACCAAGCCACCTTTGGCAGCTTGTTACAAACCAGCAATCTTATTACAAAAAAGGACAATGGCAACAGACAACCTGTACAAAACCAATCACCATCCTAGCTTGAAATTATATCGTTGTTCCTTCACGGTCATTGAGTCAAAAAATCTGGAAATCCCTTCTCTGGGCACAGCTAAATCCCATGTACTACAGGGATTCAAAAGACAGATGGTAATCATCTTCTCTGATACAGGATGGCCAACTTTGCCAATGACACTTGCGTCCCATTAGAAAATTAAAAAGAAAATTTATTGCAGAAAATACAACTCCACAATTGTGACTTTGTTTTCCTTTTTGGTAGGGATGGAATATGTACCTATGTATCCACTTTATTCTTCTACTTATCAGTGTTCTGAACTCCGTTGAGGCCAGTAACTTGTCAAAAAGATGTTTGAATTTGTAGAAGATGTCTGAAAACATCACACACAAGCGAAGAAGAATCAGAAGCAGACTACTGGGTTCCTCAAGTCTACTTTGCCCTTTTTAGATCACATCTGGTCTGATTGTGGCTTCAGTTGCCCTTCCCTGCCAGCCCTGCATAACCCTTGATTTCCCCTATTAATCAAAGATCTACCAACTCAGCC